ACGCCCGCTGCACGTTTCTCGACTTCACTTTTGCTTTCGACTCTGTACCTAGATGTCTCTTGCTAAATAAGCTCTCGATGACACAAACTGAGTCCTGGGTCACAAACTGGTTGCATTCCTACTTCTCAAACAGAATGCAGTACACTGTATACAAAGGTAAATCCTCCTCTGCTGTGCTCACTGAAGCTGGTGTCCCCCAAGGTGCTGTACTCTCCCCACTTCTCTTTTCTTTCTTTCTACATGACTTACCATCTTCAAATGACATTAATTTTGTTAAATATGCTGACGACCTGACTGTATCTTTGCCTGTCAAATGTCAAAGTGACTGCTCTAAACTAAATGGCTTTCTGTCAGAAATCAGCCAGTGGTCCAAGGAAAACGGTCTAACCTTAAATCCCTCTAAATGCCAAACAGTCAATTTCACCTTTAGGCATAAATCTGACTTAAACAAACTGGTTAGCACTCACGAGGTGTGCAACATAGATGGCACTGAAATAGAAACCAAGTCGGAAATTAAATATCTAGGCGTCATTCTATCTGCTGATCTTTCCTGGTCGTCTCATATCTTGATGATTTCTAAGAAAATATTCCGTCTTACCTTCTACATCAAGAAGTTAAAACATTCTGGTATAACCCAACCCTTACTCCTACAATTCGTTAACTCTCGCATCCTGCCTATTATTCTCTATTGTTCCCCCTTAGTTTTTCCTGGGTTACTGAAGAAAGACTATACCTTATTACGCAGGATGTTAAAGGTTGTCAGCAGGGTAAGCAACGTGCCACTTAACCAGCTTGTTAATATTCTGGTTGACAGGCACTTGGACTCATGTGAAAAATGGGCCAAATCCATTTTATCTAACTCACACCACCCTCTTCACTCACAACTCTCCCCTTGTATCTCATCAGGCAGGACCAGAAGCCTATATAGAAAACTATATGCTCGCACTAGCAAGTACAAAAACTCAACCATACCCTACTTAGCTCGTGTTCTGTGCGATAAAGAAAGCATTAGGCGTGATACCTATAACTTATTCAATAGTCAGTAGAACAACTGGATCTCGTCTTTCCAACTCATATCATTTATAGGTACAACGTTTTCTTTCTTTCTTTTCCTTTTCCTTTTTTTATGTTATGTGCTGCTTCGTTTCTTTCTTCCTTACAAACTCTACTTAAAACATTCTTCTTCGTTCTTACACACTCTGTATATCTCGACCTTTTGTTACCGCTTACGCCAGTAAATATGCTAGTATCTACTTTTCTAACACCTTCAAACACTGTTCAATTTTGGCTTTGCTACCGACATGCCAATATGTTGTTGTCAAAACTAACTGAGATTACCCTTAATCTATGTAGAATTTTATTTATTGTTAATGTTCTAACTGGATGCAATACTGTAGTAAAAATGCTGAGAATTCCATTCTGTATCACAAGTACTGTTTTGGAATAAAGCAAATTATTATTATTATTATTATTAATCTCAAAATCAGATAGAATGCACATCATATATTCCAGTATTCTAGCTACCATAAATAGAAGTAACTAAAAGCTTTTCTATATTAATTTATTCATTGTACTGCTTTCAATTTTTCTGTGCATAGAAGTTTTTGTAGTGGTTGGGTCCCGTAACTGACTTCAGCGACTCAGGGATTAACTTGTTACCAGGCAGGGAATAATCTCGTTGACTTAGAATATACTGAGGATGATATGGTCCTCTTTCCTAGGTGTGAGGTGAAGACGCTGAAAAAATAGAGCAGAGTCTTCTGAACACCTTGAGAAGCGGCAATCTTCGAATGTTTGGTATGAGATTCACTCCCTTTTTTTCACTTGCAAGACCATGAGGCTACAGGACTGGAGTACAACGATTCGTAGGTTGCAGATGAGGAATGAAGTGGTTGATCGAGAGTGTTGACCACTTAGTTCACTTATTTGGGAAGTTGCACTAGCCAGATCCCAACGGGTTGATCACTGACAAAATTTCACCACAAAGACATAAGGTTCGTTTCGCATACGCCACCTTACACCGTCTCTGGGTTAGTAGATGTGATATCCGGCTGGATATCGACCAAGGGGCGCATTTACTGCTCAGCACTTTGCTCCGTCCTCCCTTATGGCTGTGAGTGAAACATGACTATTGGAAATGGAAGACATGAAAAGGCCGTATAGCTGTCTTTCGACATAGGTGCCTGTGTTCTATCTCCCGTGTTAAGTGATATAATAAGTTGAGCAATATTGAGATTAAGCATCGATCGAGTAGTAGGTAAGGAGGGGACACCAGTCGACGAGGTTGTGAAATTACACTGATTGAGATGGACGGTTAGCTCACTTCAAATTGAAGTATGCGCTGAAGATGTTGCCTAGTAGGGCAATGAAAGCTTAGCAAATAAACTATCCAGCTCAGAGAACACAACCACATCAAAAAGGTTAGGACATGTGTTAGGCATGCTTAGCCTAGCCTGGCTATCTCCTGCCTCAATGGGCAATGCTAGCTGACATAGGATGGATCAGGTTGGAAAAAAGCTAGCTAGTGGTGGTCAAACGAAAACATGTCTTCATCACTCAATGAAATCCGTAACAGTTAGTTTGAGCCCGCCAGCCAGCCAGCCAGGTAGGAAGGTGTAGACTGCTGTCTGGTTAGGATCATCGGGATGTTGAGAACCAATGAAGGCTGGAGACAGTTGGTGGTGATATGGCTCAAAATCCTCATCAATGAATGGCTCAGATGCATCCACTTTTTGTGATTTGCGATATCTAACAATAGAGCTCTATTGTTCTTCCGTATTACTGCTATTCTTTTTGCCTCGTATTTCTGTTTATTATACCTCCCTTTCTCTCTCTCTCTCCTTTGAATCTCCATTTACTCTCTTCTCTTGGTTTGTGTGGTACATGGAGGGTGTGTGGCAAGTTGAACTGCTGCACATCTGTACAAAGTTCTACGTTGAAACCAGTCAGTCATTCAGTGATTGGGGTGACTTTCCAGAGTAGGATCGGTAACACCAAGACTAACCTCCCCTCATTCATCAGGGCTAGGAACAGGCTAGTGAAATGAGTAAACCAGGCGAGCAGGAGACGAGAGCTTATGAGGAATCTTGATGAAGCCCGATAAAGAGGACAAGATGAAATGGAGATGTGTTGTTGAATCCCTATGTTCCACACGGAACCTAAGGGAATAATGAAATAACAATAATAATAATAGTACTGCTTTTAAAATAATAGAGAAGATTGGTAGCTCAGGTGGATGATTTGCAATTAATAGTGTTCTCTGAGCTGGCTGGTTTAGTTGCGAAGCTTTCGTCGTCCTTCTGGACAACATCTTCAGCGCCATATTTAGCACAAAGTGAAATGATTTAAATTTCTTCATAAGTGATATAATTGCATCTCCTGGTAACTATCTTTACATATGTATTGACCATTTTCTATTGACTTGGATTTTAGACTTTCTGGTCACCTGATTTACTTTTTATTAGTTGGTATATTTCGTCTATATTAACGTGCTTGTTAATTGGATTTTGGTTTGAGTACCAGGCTTCTAGGAATTCCCTGACTACACTTTTGGTGTTTCCTCTGTCTAAGATTTTGACATTATCCTAATCAAATTGATGACCATAATTGTCTGTATGCATTGATACTACAGAATACATATCATGTCTTTTCACGGCTGATTTATGTTCTTGGATTCTGATTCGAAGGGGGATGCCCACTTTGGTCGATGTAATGTCTGTCACAGTTCATAAAATTTATTTTCTAAATGGTATTAATTTTATCTCCTTTTTCTGTTGGATCTTTTGGTTTGTACAATATCGAATTAAGTGATTGGACTGGTTTGTGTGCTATATCTATTTCAAACGGTCTCAATATTTTAGCTGTTATTTCATAGGTATTTTTTATATATAGTAGGATGAATTTTCTTGTGGTCTTTGATGATGATTCCTTGTTGGTGTTGTGATTCGATTTTAAACATTTTTTGATGAAATTTTGTGGATAACCATTCTTTTTGAAGACCGTTTGTAGGTACTTTTCTTCCATTCTTTTCAACTCTGGAGTGCTACAATGTGTTTGAACTCTTTTAAACAATGTCTGCACACAGTTTCGTTTGTGAGTAACTGGATTATTGCTAGTATAGTTGAGTATTTGATCTGTGTGCGTTGATTTTCTATAAACTTGTGTCTCTAAATCTCCTGTGTTGGTTCTCCTGATTAAGACATCTAAAAATGGGATTTTGTTATCTAATTCTTCTTCTCTTGTGAATTTGATGTCTTCAAATATGTTGTTTATTAATTTATGAGTATATTCTAAATCACTTCTCTTAATTATTACAAATGTATCATCAACGTAACGTATCCAGATTTTCGGTCTAATTATGGGTGGAGCTATTAATTCTAATCTTTGCATAACGGCTTCAGCTATTAATCCTGATATGGGCGATCCCATTGGTGTTCCTTTTATTTGTTCATATATTTGAGTATTGAACTGGAAGTATGTTGTAAGGCATAATTTTATGAGTTCTATCCAAGTTGATAATTGTGTTTTTATGTTTTCATCACTATAGAGTAATTGTTGCATAGTTTTGGACTAATTGAAGTATATAATGCTGTGACATCAAAGGACACCATTATTTCATTGTCTTCTACTTGAATGTTTTTGATTTTCTCTAAAAATTGGATTGACGAATTGATAGAATGGTCGCATGATTCTGTTAGGTAATTTAATTTCCTGAAAAGTTCTTTAGATAGATTATATGTTGGTGTTCCTGGAAGCGAAACGATTGGTCGTAAGGGAATGTTTGGTTTGTGTAGTTTTGGTCTACCATAGAATCGAGGTAAAATAGGTCCGTTAGATTTCATTCGCCATGGTTGGAAATTCACTCAGTTTATTTGGTTTCGTGCAGCTGTTTATCTTTCTACTTAACATAATAATCAGTAGTATGTTGATGGAGAATTTTGTTCATTCTAATTGTATTTCCACTACTTTCTCTTTCTTTTTTGTCTGTACTATAAAAACAGGTTATTCCATACTTACGATCATCACAAGATTTTCTCAACAAAGTATTCTCATGCTTGGAATCATGCGCTGTAGCTGATCTGATCATTCAGTTAGCTCAACAAGAAACGAAACAACAATGCATTGTCTTTGAAGTAAGTCTTGATTGCTTTATTCTCTACTTTTTTTCTCTCTCGCAAAAATTGTATATCATGCTTCTCTCCTGTGTTATCATTATAATTATTATTATCATCACCTTAGGTTCCGAGTGGAACATAGAGAGAGAGGGCTTCAACAGTACAGCGCCGTTTCAGTCTATTCTCTTTAACTGGTTCCACGATAGCCACCCTTGGGCTCCAAAACTCGTCGTTTCCCACTCTCTAATTGAATTTTTAGATATTCCCGTCGATCGATTGGACCGAAGTGCTCGGTCTCAGGTTGACATGTCGGCTCATTGTGCAGATGCTTCGACGACGACTAAAGTAGAAAGAATATGAAGATTACAGAGATGAATACATCTGGCCACTACAACGATTAGCCATGTACCTATTGTCTCCAGCCATTGATTCTTAGAGTCCCGAGGACCCCACCGGTCTAACTGTAGGGATTTCATGGATTGATGCCATGTTTTTGTTTGGTCACCGCTTACTCTTTCCAACCTGCACCTATATCAGCTAGTAATGCCCGTCGGGGGGAGGCGATGGTTAGGCATGCGCAGCACGTCACCTAACCATCTCAATCTATGTAACTTCATAGCCTCGTCGATTGATTTTCCCTCTTTGCCCAACACTCTACGCCTAACGTCAACATTACTTACCTTATTATACCACCTACGTGAAAGAATGACTGAGCATGTAATTAGAATTTAATTAATTGGTGGTTGGTGACTAGCAGTGGAATCCAGGATAACGCGCATTTCGTCCTATTTGAGGCTCGTCAACTGGATGTACCTGCATTCCTCAGTGAGTGATGATGTTCCCACCGAGGTCCTAACCCAGTGCCCATAGCGTTATCCACTAGACCACTTGGGCCACGAGAGCCACCAGCTTCTCTCTCTCTGTGGTTGTTGTTGATTTGTCAGGTATCTTCGCCTTCACCCCATTTGTCTTCTTTATATTCACTGGATTGCCTTCAGGAAGTCAGTCAGACAATGTATCTTCTTTCAATGCAAGCAAAAATAAGCATGGGGATATAGATACAATATGTCCTAGATTTCTATGACCAGTAACCTATACAAGCGGGGGAGACAAACCATATCGCATTTTTAATGTTTATTTGGCTTCATTTGAGTTAATTTTTCATACTTTTTTTTCTATTCTCTATCTATTACTTTACTTACTTACTTACTATAGTGGTTTAAAACTGATCGTGTTGTGGAACGTTTAATTGAAAAATTCGATCCTGTCTATTCATTTGAGGTAATCCCTTTGATGTATTTATTGTAATACATATATATATATGTATATATATATATATATATATTTGATGTAACATGCTGTTAATTTATCTTGAATTTTTGTTTTAATTCAACCTCTTTGTTAATGATGTGGTCGTTTTTAAGAGAAAGAAAGACTCTAGGCGTCTTTTTCATTTCCCCTCTGTCATTTGGTGTCCTTAGTATTTACTTAATTGAGTTTTGAAACTGTAGTAAGTAATTAAGTAAGTGAGTTATTTGGTTAATTAGAAGTCAGTTGTGCTGGACAATGAGTCACACTTATCATGTGTGTGTGTGTGCGTGTGAAGTCTGGTGATATTACCCATTCCTCCCCCACCCCATCCTCTGCAGGTTAAAGAAGGTGGGTGGGGGTGGAATATTCAATGGCTGAAAGCATAGGACTTGAGAAACTGTTTGTGACATGGCTCATAGTTTCGAGCTCAGTGACACAGAAGCATTATATTCCCCATGTAATTATTACTTCTCTACCATAAACGATTTGGTACCGCTGCGGGTGAGTGGACTTCCATCTTTCACTCGAAATGATCCTATGCGGACACGTCTTCCCAGCCTCTGCCAGGTAGTTCCCATTCCACTGTGTCCACGTGACTGATGTAGGTGTTCTTCATAAAAGTGGGAAGGTCAATTCCAGTGTCTGACTTTTAAGACCTGACCTGTTGTAGGTCTGCCTACTTTAAAGGAACTGGGAAACCCTAATTCCAAACCTATGCTGTGGAATTGGACTCCAGAATCCAGGAAAGTAGCACTGAATAACGAACGTATGAACCGAAGACTGTGGGAACGTAGCTTCTGACAGTGTTCCACTGCACTACCTTATGAATCAGACTTCAAGTCAAAAGTTCGGTTCGGGGATAGCCCCTTAATACAATCACCTCTGGTATATGCGTCCGGGCACAGTATTCCAGCCCTAACACAAACCATAGGACAAAAACTTAAGCGGTGCATCTCATGGTGTTCATGTAACGGTAGAAGACTTAAGACTTGGTAAAGGAATGTTTATTTGCAATTTGGTGTCTGGATATAGCCGAGTTATGTGCACCTTATTTTCAATGCCGCACCATTTGCACAGATCTTCCGTGTTGTGCTACTTCTAGTCTTCCTTCATGTTGTGTCTCTTTGTGTTCTTTTCACGTCTCCCATGTATCTCCTCGCAACGCTGAATTATTTGCTTTCTCTGACATGGAATGTATCTCCCTGTTATTTGATGTTTTTACACCAATGGAAGTCTGTTTATATACTACTGATGAGTCTTATCAGTAGTACACACCCCACCCATATTGTGCCGAGTTTAAATAATAATAGATAACAGTAATATTCCTGTTCAGTTTAATTCCTTCGCTTTTTTCGTTTTGCTCTACCTGTGTTGTTCGAAGTTTTGCATTGAAATTCAGGTGAGCCAGTGAGTAGTAGGTATCATAAGCCCTCATATGAGAAGAAAAAATATGTGGCTCATGGATGGTTTGCTGAGCTTTAACTAAAGTAGCCTTACACACACACTGGGGTTCTCACCCAGGTCAAGCTCTCAGACCACCTTCCAATGGGACTTCTATTAATTCGTGATTTTAGCGTGACATCCAGCAAATGTCATCGCTGGCGAGTATTTATCCTCACACCCGACTTGGTAAATCCCACTGTTCACCCACCACTCCTCACATTTGAACTCCAGACAGCTTTGTCCTGTAACCAGTCATTGGTGAGCATTGGATGGATGAATTTTCAAGAGTTAGTGTGTGTGTGTGTGAGGAGTCAACCAGGTCGGTTGCGAGGACAAATACTAGCTGATGACATCGGCGAATTATTAGAAGTTGGAATTCATACAAGATTCGATTGTGTCCCAAGTGGGTGACATGTAGTCAAAAGGTCCTGGGTTCTGCCTCCAGCAGTGAGTGAGTGAGTGAGTAAGTGAGTACTTCTGAAGAGAGTCCTGAAGTGTAGAGTGGAACAACAACTGTCCAATACTTTGGTACGGTATTGGTTTTCAGTGGTTCTCTGATTGAAATCAAACTCGGAAGGAAATGAAATCCCTACAAACGATAAGGTTTGAGCCCGAATAGCTCAGTGGTGGTCACGTCTCTGACTGCAGGCGCGGCACTGGGTGACGCGGGTTCGAATCTCAGAAGGGACATGGGTTCCTTCAAAGTAGTTGCAGATACGCCTTTCTGACTGGTGAGTGCCAACTAGCACGAAACCTAGGTCAAGCAAGACTTCCTGTGGCCGATTGCTTCCAACCATCTAATATCATCAAATCAATGTGCAATGTGGTGGCGAGCTACCTAGAATGGTGGTCAAACTACAAACCTGACTGATAGGATTCAGTCTTCACCAAGCAGAGGACTAGACACATCACACTAGTTAGCTAGAAGCCACACTGAGCCTCCCCGCCATCCAGCACACACCCGAATGGTATACACAAAAGCTATCTGTAATTTGAAACGAGGCAAAGCGGCAGGACCCGACGGAATTATTCCGGAGGTGTTTAAATATGGGGGTGACATACTAGTATATAGCTTAACTAAGGTACTAGGTAACGTCTGGGAATCAGAGACGGTTCCATCAGACTGGGGTAAGACACTTATTATACCAATATTCAAGAAGGGAGACAAGTCCTCATGTGATAATCATAGAGGAATCAGCCTGACGAACATAGTCTCTAAAATCCTAGGCTCAGTAATCATGCACAGACTAAGCCGAACTCGGGAGGAACAAACGAGGGAAAATCAAGCGGGTTTTAGGCCAGGTAGAGGGCGCATAGATCATATCTTCACTCTCCGACAGATCCTAGAACATAGACACACTTTCAGGTGTCCAACAATTGCCATATTTCTTGACTTGAAGGCGGCCTTCGACTCCGTGGATCGAGAGGTACTATGGCAATGTTTGACTATGAAGGGAGTGCCAAGAAAGTACATTGCACTAATCAAGGCACTCTACTCAAACTCACGTAGCTGTGTAAGGGCTTATGGGGAATTGTCATCTGAATTGATAACAACCAGTGGTGTCCGTCAAGGATGCCCACTTTCCCCTTTTCTGTTTAACTTCATTATAGATATACTAATGGAAGTACCTTTAACTGAACTTGACGACTTAGGAATCGACTTGTTACCAGGGAATAATCTCGTTGACTTAAAATATGTAGACGACATAGTCCTGTTAGGGGAGGACGCTGACAAAATGCAGAGTCTTCTGAACACCTTGAGCAGCAATCTTCGTATGTTTGGCATGCGATTCGCCCCTGTAAAATGTAAGATTGCTGCTACAGGACTGGACTACGTCTACCCCTAACTTAGTGATAGGGAGTGAAGTGACAGAACATGTTGACCACTTCACCTATTTGGGAAGTTGTATCAGAACCAATGGATTGATTGGTGACGAAATCTCATCACGGATCCAAAAAGCTCGAGCTGCTTTCGTTAACTTACACCATCTCTGGCGTAGGTGTGACATCCGGCTATCAACCAAGAGACGTGTATACTGCTCAGCAGTTCGCTCCGTCCTTCTCTATGGCTCTGAAACATGGCCAATACGAGTTGAAGACATGAATAGGTTGACTGTTTTTGACCACAGATGTTTACGATCTCTTTCTCGCGTTAGGTGGTATAATAAAGTAAGTAATGTTGACGTTAGGCGTAGAGTTGGGCAAAGAGGGAAAATCAATCGACGAGGCTATAAGGTTACATAGATTGAGATGGCTAGGTGACGTGCTGCGCACGCCTAACTATCGCCTCCTCCGATGGGGATTACTAGCTGATATAGGTGCAGGTTGGAAAAGAGTAATTGGTGGCCAAACAAAGACATGGCCTCATCAATCCATGAAATCCGTGACAGTTAAACTGAGTCAGGATGGGAGGGAGATGCAGACTTCCGGGTTGGGGCCCGCCCTCGGGACTCTAAGAATCAATGGCTGGAGACACTAGGTGACATGGCTCAAAATCGTTGTCAATGGCTTACGCAGATGTATTCAGTCTCTGTAATCTTTCATATTTCTTTCTACCATTACTGATTGTGTTTCACTCTTATACTTGTCAAAACTCTATTGATTCTCTTCACTCATCTTCTTGTCTATCTTTGTGTGGTATTTGGGATGTGGCAACTTCAACTGCTGCACTTCGGTGCCAGGTTCTATGTTGAATCCAGCCAGCCAGTTAGTTGGAAACTAGTGTCCAATCAAAGTATCCGCTACAGTTCTTCAGGAGGTCAATCGCTAGCCCGAATAGCTCAGTGGTAACGTCTCTATCTGACTTCAGGCAGCACTGGGTGACGCGGGTTTGAATCTTAGAAGGGACATGAGTTCTTTAAAGATACGCCTTGCTGACGAGTGCCAACTAGCACGAATAATATCATTATTCGAAAAGTCACAATTTTTGTGATCACGATATAAAGAAAATATTTATTCATTGATTTTTAAGTAGTTTATGTGCGTGCGTGCAGCGTGTATGTGTGTGTGTGTGTGTGCGCGCGATTGGAACTAATTCTATTTGATATAAGCATGTATTTGCGTGTGTGTGTGTCTGTTTGTGTTTGTATATCTTGTATTATTTTAATGACAAGTGTCAGGACGTAAAGTGACAATTTATGTCTAACATTTTATTTCATCTAAGTAGATGTATATATACATATAAGTAGAAGGCATGTGACGGTGGTATCCTTTTTTTCTACCTAACCGTTTTGTTCTCTCTGATCTGATTATATCTCTGACATGAACAACACATGATTTGTTATGGGTTTGTAAAAAACTTGATAAGACCTTTCATCATTTGTTGAATAGCTTGTCTTATACAACATCGTATCGATGCCAACAGTAGTTTCCTATTAGGTTGTGAAATTGATAAGTTGTGTGAAGGATTTCATCATGAGCTGACTGACATCAGGTAGAGAGAAAACCTAGGAGTACTGGACGGCTGTTCATATCGTCCAACTACTTTTGGGACTCTTCATCAGTACGCACCCACCACAGGGGTGTTC